GTCCTTGAAAGAATAAGTCATTACAAAGGAAAACCCAACCTAGTTGACTGGAGATCCCAAGATCAAGGTTCAATGGGAAAACCTAACTGTAAAGACTTGATAAAATCACCGTGGGGGTATTACCTCCTGTCCATTGCTATGATGTAACAGTGATGCTCGTAAAGTTGAAGGTTAAGCAATAGGCTTTTAATGATTTTTATGCGTCGTAAATCGAGCGAAGTAATGCGGGTTATTTGTAATAAGAAATCACCTATGTGAGAGAGAAGTAAGGCCACTTCTAAGAGAATTGTGTGGGGCTCAATTCTTAAGAACTCTCACAGAACCAGGCATATGTTCATGGCCAAAACGAACATAACAATGAGAACTGGATTGTGTTAGGAAGAATCCTGTGTGAGTTATATCATCGTTTACACAAACAGCAGAACAGTTTAAGGACATCGCATCTACTGGTCATCCAGTAAAGCAAGGTTCAAAGGGTAACACCTACCTATCCTATGCAAGATTCAACTGTTGAACTTTATCACCAAGTCTTGTGTTTCACGTTTCGTGTCTCTCCCAATTTTCATTCATGTGGGGGATTGTTGGAAAAATTGATTGAGCAGCTCACTTTTGGCACAATTTTTGATGGGACTCGTTGGTCCAATGTGGAATATCAATGTTAATATGTGTTCTCCTTCGCGAGAACATCGATTTCATGTATTTATTTGCCAAGCATGAAGCTCGGCTGAATGAGAAATTGGAGCTCAAAGTTGGTCATTGGAAGTTGATTTTATGGGAAAAATGCATTTATCCCACATAGGAAAGCCAAGGAAACTTAAACCACTTTATATATAGCTATACTTTGGAGATGTGTAATCATGTGTAGCATAGAGGCTCTCTCCACGTGCGTGCGCAGAGGGGTGTAAATCACCAACCAAAATGGCCTTCGAACTTTGAACTTGGGTGCGGGTGCGATCTGCACATACAAATGTCAGACCGAACAAGGAAAAAATGGCCCCATCGGAGAGCCCACCTTTTGCCAATTTTATTTGGCCTTCTCCAATGACTTTTGTGTTTCTAAACTGAAAAAAACTCCAATGGACTCCCAATGGCCACAGTGTTAATGGGAAGTAACTCCAATAGACTCTCAATGGTCACAATATTAATGGGCAATATGCCTATAAAAAGGCTTATTCTCTAGCAATCTAACACACTCGAAAATCTCACCTACATTCCTGCATACACAGTTTCTTCTTTTCTGCATTCCTGTCCAGTAAGGTCTTGTTCTTGTGGTAATATTATTCGAATACTAGATCAGTTCGCCGGAGTAGAACCGCGGTGCTCGGATTTTGCTTATTACCGTTGTATCTTGGGAGACAGCCGCTTGAACTGAACCTCCAACACCTATGATGAGAGGGCGAAACTGTCTTAAGGAAACTGTGCACGCACAGGCCTCGATTTGAAATCCGATGCAATTTGTGTTTTCTTTCTACAGATTATTTTCGCATTACTATTTAATTCATGCAGTTTGTAGTTCCATAGTGTGCAACTTCCAGATTCATTGTTTATAGTTTTAGCCTACAGTTAACTTATATTTCTGATTTTATGTTGCTAAACAATTTTTTTCAGCCATTGGAAAATTTTGAAACGGAATTTTTTTTTTTGATAAATTGAAATCGTTTGCCTTGTAGTTATTAATTTCAATAGTCGGCTATTGGAATTGAATAAAACTTATACAATTAGTTTCATTCACTAGTGACTTATTTTCCTACAAGTGATCCTGATTTGGATTAGCCTCATGTAACTTGTTGTAGAGTACCAAAGCCATAGGAAAAGGCTATCCTGATGAAGATTGGCTGTACTCATCCATGGTACACTAAACCCCTGGTATTCATCCCAAATATGCTACCAGTATTATACTTTCTAATTCCACCGGAAAAGGCTCATGGAATCCCTTCTTCTTCTTTTTCACAGAAGGTCTTTGTTTACTAGTCAAAATGGAAAAATATTTTTTATTTTTTCAATAATTGTTACTTAATTTAAATTTGTTCTGATTTTGGATCTTGGGAAGATCCTTCTTTATCCAAAATTCAGCAAGTTGCCTCAGTGGGGTTCGTAAGTACTACAGCTAATGCAATTGAACTAAAAATTAGTACAAAATCAATCATCTTTCTGAGCACTCAATGCTATATATCAATATGAATACATAATTATAGGTGATATCTTCCCTGTTGGATGTGCTTTCGATAAATCAATTGCTCATCACAAGGTATTTTTCCTATTTTAGCATGAATTATCTTTTGCCTAATTTTTCTGACGTTTCTCAAGAATTCTAAAATGTGTTTAATCTGTTTCGAGAATAAACAATGAGCGCTTCAGATCAAGATATGAGCCTTGTCTTTCGGTATACCAATCATTCATTATCTTTTAATTCGCGGTTTTGCAATTATTTTCATAGATATGTTTTCTTTTGGAGTTTCGAAATTGTTAATAAAATAAAATAATGTTTAGCTCGTATTTATAAACTATTTACAAACACTCAAACAACTTTTTATTCATATATTTTTTAAACTATTTATAAACACTTTCAAAACGTACTCTAGTTTCTCATTTCTTCAAAAAATAAAGTTTTTATATATGTATTTCAACGCAAAATATTAGACTATGTAAAAATCATAAATTTAAGTTTCACACAGTATTAGATTTTCATAAAAAAAAAAAAAAGACTTCAAAGTACATATGAGGAGATATGTTGAAGATAACATGTAAATAAATAAATATAGCATCTTTCTAAGAACTTAAGTTCTTAAATGAAATAGTTAAGAAGGCATGTCTACTCTTGAAGAGTCATTTGGTATATATGGAATTTATTTCAGTTTAATTAAATAAAGCCACTTGTTATTGGTAATGAAAAAGGCTAACACTTTCATGTCTTGAATTCGTTAAGTATTTAAAATGTGTTTGCTTTCCTTCTCAACCCACACGAGTTATTTACAAGAGTTTTAGAGAGCCAAAAACTTCACTAGGGCATGCCCCCTCAACTCGTATGAGCTATTTACAAGAAGAACCTCCTCAGCAGGAGAGCCAAGCACCTTTTCAAGACTTGCCTCATCAATTCGCACAAGTTATTAAAAGACTCCTTGGCAGAAGAGTCTAGCACTTCTTCAGGCTTGCCTTCTCAACCTACATGAATAATACTTAACAAGAACCATCTCCATAAAGAGTCAAGCACCTCTTAGGGTTAACCTCTTCAAGCCACATAAGTGATTTACGAGAAGAGCCTCGTTGGTGGGAGAGCAAAGTACATCGACTAAGACTTGTCTAAAAAAGTCTGCCTAGGCTCAATCAACGCTTCACCTTGACAAGTGAGTCGAGTGCCTATGAAATGACTTGCTTCTATATTTGCACGAATTTGTTTAAAAGGTTCCATCTAGGTGGTGGAGTCAATACCTCAGCTAGGATTTGCTTCAGATTGAGCCGAGGCAAATTTTTAGACAAGTCCTAGTTGAGGTCCTTACCCTCGAAATTCATATACTCCCAGTCAATTGCTTCATCTCAACAAGCGAGCCAAGTGCCTCGAACAAGACTTTCCTCAATAAAAGTGCAGATCTGTTTAAAGTTTTACCTAGGTTAGAGAGCCAAGTATCTCGAGTAGGAGTTGTCTCCAAGACTAGCCTAGGCTCAATAAACCTTGACAATTGAACCAAGTGCCTCAAATAGAATTTAGCTTAACAATTGCGCGAATTTGATTAAAATTTCGCCTAGGCTTGAATTTTTTTATTTTTTTCAAAGAGTAGTTAGACACATCTTGTTTTTTCCTCAATTAAATTAATAGGAAAAAAAATTATTGAATCACGTTGCCTCGTAGACCCTTCAAAAGTAGAGGATCTTCTTGACAACTTCTATTTTTCCCTTTTTTCGAAGTGTTCACCATGGTTTATACTTCACCACATCGCGGCAAAGTGTCATTTGGCAATTTAAAAAAAAAAAAAAGTAGTTTTCCATCCAATCATTTTTTTTACAAGACAAATATCAACATTAATGTCAACTTTGGAATGTACAAATGGCAAAATCACCCCCGTTTGGAAGCCATTTTTATTTGAGAGAATTCATTTTCCAGTCATGTCATTCCTAGCCCGTTGTTTCATGACTTTTGTATTTGCTGTAGGGTTTTGTCTTTGTTTTCCATTATATCCCTTTAATGGTAAAGAAATCATGGTGCATTTTTTTTTGAAGACCGTGCAGTTGTAATGATGGGTAAAATATGTAAAGTTTAGGGAGGTGTTTGAGCCACATTATTTTGGTAATAATGCATTCTTGAATAGTGTATTGATGGAAAATATGCGGTTAAAAAATAAAGAAAAGTTTTTTATCTGCGTGTAATATTATTTTATTGAAAAATGTGTGGTTGAAATGATGTCAAATCACTGTTTAAGAATGTATTTTTTTGGAATAATGTGGCTCAAACAAGCTCTTAAAGATAGAGGGATAACTCTTTAAAGAATTATGTCGACTCGGTTCAGAAATATTGAATAAACTACAAATGAGATGAAAATGAGCTCCAAACAAGCACATAATACACTAACTACACATCCTTTGCATGCTTTAAGGATATAATTGTTTGGGTCCCTTTGCTAGAAGAATAAATTTAGTAATAGTGATATTTAAAAATTGTATGACTAACGAGCATGAAAATATTTTAAGTTTTCGTGTAAAATTATTCTATTGGAAGAACGTATTGTCGAACATGAGTTTAGGAAAAAAAATGGCGGTGTGTATAATTTGTTGTTTTCATATTTCAATTTTGTAAAAACACCAAAAACTTGTTTAATTTGATATTTTTAAAAATACATATTCAAAAACGATGTTAAACTGATAACATAAAACTCAAAATGCACTTTTGACATTTGGAGTATTTTTGTGTTTTCTCTGCATCAACCAAGTCTTCTAACTCAATTAACTCTCCTAGAAAAAGTTGTAGACATCGTCGAAGTTCGTTTAGTTTTCTCAAATATCCCAACTTATTTGATCTTCTTCCTGCTATGGAACTGTTCAAAATCCAAAGATCGGTTAATCTCTCCAGTCCTTGAGGAATTGGTTTCACACTCGAACCTTCATCAAAGAGAAGATATCATAGATTTATAAGTTTATAGATCCCTTGAAGGAGTGCAAAGAGTTCAAGACATCCCCAGAGATCCAAGGTTTGCAAATTATACAAATCACACAAGGTTTCTAGGAGTTCTCTTATAGGATTAAAGCTCAAGTCAAGACACCTCAAGTAAATGAATTTTCCTATTTCTTGTGGAAGTTCTTGCAAACCACAATCGCTCACAATAAGTATCTGACCACATTTTAAACGACTAAAGAGATTTAAAGGGAGGCCTTCTTGAGAAACATTTCTAGTACAAAAGGTGCGAGCTTTTTCCGATGTTACATTTCATAGTCCCTACTCCACCATCCAAGATTAAGCATCACTCATCTTTTTAGATATAAGTAATGAAGTCATGCTTTATATCATGCATTTGGCAAGAGATTTCTCTTTCATCATATTTATCTTTTTCAACTCTTGAAAGAAAGATCGCACCGCTGGGTTCTTAAATAATTGTAACCCTATCCTTTGCATGTGATCTACATTTCCACTCGAACCAAGATAACTATATGCCATCCAGATTCTTATAAGCGTATCCAGCCATATCCGGGTATCTTTTGGATAGATGACACAACTCGAGAAGCAACGCTTAAGTACTGGAGACAAATCATTGCAACTCAAATACAAATGGGGAAAAGCTCAACCGTCTCTTCCTCCACCTGCCACAAAGGACTCTCCAGAGCATTTAGCCACTCTCCTACAGTATCTTTCAAGCATAGCATGCTTCCAATAGTTTTTGTGGCAAGTGGCAACCCATTGCAATTCAGTTCAATCTTTTTATTGATATCTTCTAGTTTCTCGCACTCCTTATTTCTTCCAACAAAAGCTATCCTACTCAATAGTGACCTGCAGTCCTCATCTGATAGTTGGCCCAATGGTTGCCGTGTGTCTGTGCCTATCACTCTAACAACCCAATCACTCCTCGTCGCCAAAATTCTACTTTTGGGAACACCCTTGAGAGAGTTTTTCAGTGGTTCCAACTTCCTGCGATCTTCAGTCCACACATTATCTAAGACAATAAGAAATTTTTTCTTTGAAACTGAGTTTTTCACACGTTGTAATAACATTTCCAATTTCGAGGTGTTGGAGGAACTCTCCCCAAGGGCTTTAAGAACTAATTTTGCAATCTTAATCTCATCGAAAGGATCCGAAAGCATATTCATGGTCTTAATTCAAAATGTTCCTCGACTTCAGGATCATTAAAGGCTAATTGAGCAAGAGTTATTTTACCAACCTCCCCCATCCCTACTATTGAAACAATTTGGACTAGTGATGGCAAGTTGCCCCGCCCCATCCCATCGGGACCCCGCCCTGATGGGTTGATGGGACAGGGCGGGGCAGGGGGTGTTGCCCCATCTCAGGTCACGGGGCGACCCCACCCCGTGAAAATAATAATAATAATAATAAAATTATATATATATATATATATATATATATATATATATATATATA